AGGGGGGGGGGGGGGGTGGCTCTTGGCGCGTAATAAGGGAAGCGTGAAAAATCGTCGAAGCGAATGTATATAATAATTTGGCTCGGACGTCGTTAGATAAATTGATCCAGGCCCCTAATCACGCAATAATCGTCACCAGGGCAGCGACAACCCCATTTCCAGGGGCGGCTCACTCCCGTGCACCTGCCGCCCCCTGTTCGCCCTGCCCGAACTACGAGCCGGCACTTGGCTCCCTTGGGTAGGGGGGGCGGCCGTCTGCGACCCCCCCCGAAATGACCCCTAACGAGCTGACGTACGTAGCTTCGAACCAACGGCGCCCCTGAAGCGAGCGGTGCTTGCGTGTCGCTGAATATGGGGGGGGAGGGGGGCGAAGGGGGTTGGTTGCCTCCTCAAGCGGACTCGATTCCTCCTCGATTCACAAGTCGAGATCCTAATCGTGCTTTGGCCACTTTGTGTCGGAAATTGAGGCTAGTTGCTTAGATCCGTCACGAAAATACGAGACACGAGCCCCTCAGCCTTTTGTCTCTGGTCTCTCGTTCGTCCCCCCTCCCTGAAGTCCCAGGCACTTCTCGCGGACATTGACGGAGATGGGCTTCAATCCGCGCTTCTTAAATTCACGAATTGTTTGGCAGGGCGAGTATTTCGGAAACATCCTGTGCCCCGTTAGAGCAATTAGAAACTCGGAAATCCTTTGGATCCGAAAGCACACAGTTACGTATGCACGAGGACGCTTAGGTCGCATCGATCCCGTAAAAGCTCTTTATGGACACGCTCCTTCTTTTCCACCCTTATCTATTTGTTAACGTTAATGCGATCGGTATTACGTATTTTTTTTTTTTTTTTTTTTTTTTTTACATTTAAACCCGCAAAGTACAGCAGGTGCGGGACGCGTGTGGTCGCACGTTGGTACCACGGGGAACCCATTCCCGCTTCCGTTCTCCAGTTACCATCGCCAGGACACAGGATATAGAGAAACGCGTTTGACAATGTAGAGGGGGGAGTGGCGGGGGGGGTGGACGGAAAACCTATAGTGGGTCAGAACGGACACGCGAGCCATCCATAATGCACGGAGCTGCCCGAGATGCTCGCAGCAGATAAATTCCATAAAAAAGCATCGTAGGGGGGGGTGTAATTCCTGTGGGCTTCCCTTGGTTATTATTCTTTATTTCATTATGAAAATCCAAAATTTCACTTAGCTGCCGTGTAATTTTTTTGTTCTCTATTCCCACACGCGTTCCACGATTGATCACCTGTAATAGTAAGGCAACTCGGACCGGCCGATTTTATCGGTGTCCACGTGAAAGACCCGGGCCGCCACCCTTCGACGGGTAGCTTTTCTATTAGGACCATTATCGACGGGCCGATATCAATTGTGTATCGGACGTCCGAGAAAAGGAAAAAGGCAAAGGGAAGCAGCTACATAATCCATTTCCGCGGAGTTGGTATTCGTGGCCGCAGCCAGGACATATTGATTTCCTCGATACCGGGACACCTACTGGACACTGGCCGTTATCGATCCGTTGAAAAGTTCAGGGCTGTCCAGGAGCCCGAGAATCCTCGGTATATCCGATTCCTAGGGAAAAATTCATTCTTCGTCTCGAATTTACGTCCTTCGCTGCTAGATCAGTCTTGGTCCCCTTTGATGCTGGATGATGATGCGCGTCCCTCGCGTCTTGTAGACGCAGGACTTCTCATTAATTTGGTTTTTACAGAGGCACGCACAACGCGCACCTTCCGCAGGAAGATCCTTGTTACCGGATGTTATCCAGGTTCGAATGCTTTTTTTTCTTTTCTTCCAACTACCGGAAGTTCGTCCCGATCAAAATTCATAATTCCTGTTCGGGTGACGTATTTTTGAAAATTAGGATTTCTCGAGAGCCGTCCTTTCCTCTTGTCTTCTTTTTCCTTCCCGTTCCTCGGATCTTCTTCTTCGTCGAGAATCGCGACTCTTTTCCTACTTTTCCTCTTGGCTTCGCCGATGGGTCCGATCTTCCTCGGGTCGAAGGTCAGCGGAACGATTCGGCGATGGATACGCGATTTCGGATTTTATCATTAGGTACTAACGTTGGTGTTAGATAATCGTGTGCCGTGTGACGAGAGAAGTACGAAATACCTACACGTTTTGGTTTGCTGTTTTGGCGACACTGCAGATTTCTCTCTGTTTTTTTTTTCTTCTTCTTAATTACTCGTACGAGCTAAAAACCACGTGAGAGCATCACGAATTTTTTTTAAACGCTTACCTTGCGCTTACCACTTCTTTTACACACACACACAGGACACCCACACACACGCACCTGTACACTCATCCCACGTCCACCCTGACACACGGGGCTTTTCTCTGGGATATCCTGTCGCAAGGCATTGAAAATCTGGTTTTTTGAAATTGGTTTTTTTTTATAATTTTTTTTTTCACTTTTTTTCTGTAAATCCTTGCGTGACGGCGAACGCGTGATGCATTCGAGATGACCTATATATCTGCTTTTCTGGACTTGGGGTTGCGTATGACGAGTGCTGATTTCCTTTTGATTAGCACGTGGTGCATCGATTGCTCGTTCCTATTGGATGATCAATAAGGAAAAAGTCATTGATTTCAATCGAACGTCAATCCGATAGGTTACACGGTCAAAACCGTATACGATCAATGCGATGCACCAGTGCGCGTTTCCAATTGTCATAGAAGCGCAAGAGCAGTTCTAATAAATTGCAGGTACCCCTAAGAACACCGCACGCATAAATACGCAGGTTGGCGCCCGGAGAAAAGTGATCCCGTAGACACGCAAAAAAAATCATCCCTCTTCTGCTACGGCGAACACACGCAGTCTACCGACTAATTCCGTACGTACGTGTACACGTGTGCGACAATACTCTCGAGAGGGACGTGGAGAAAAGTGCCATGTCGTAAAAAAAAAAAAAAAAAAAAAAAAAAAAAAAAAAAAAAAAAATTATTCCCATCTCGTCGGTATAAGAATAAATCGCGAGGATGCTTTATTATGAAATCGGAAATTGGCGTCGATCTTCGGGCGAAGAGCGAGCGTTTCCAGAGTCGTAAGATAAATGTGTTGCGTGTTTGATTTTGTAGAGCCGAGTCGAAGAGGCTCCAAGTGCCTTCTACCCTGCATCCAGGAATTCGCCTGAACTCGGTATCCTGGCTGCAGACGTAGGAGAGACTGAAAATCCAAAAATTCATCCCTTGTCCCCAGCATCCCCAAGGATCCGAAAGAAAAAGGTCCAACACACGCACACGTACAGTCCTCCCGATCCGCCTCAGTAATTTTCTTTGGAAGTGGCAACGTAACGGGGAGCCCAACGGGACAGCCTCCTGACGATGTACCTTTTGTGTTTCAGAGTGCCACCAGGCTACGTGTACCAGTCGCCGTACTTAGCCGCCGCGGCGCCTGGAAGTCTCATGCCGTTACCGGCGACGCAATTGAGCCACGCGGCGGCCGTTGCTGCGGCCTCGCAATTTTACGAGTACCAGAACGCCGCGGCGGCCGCCGCCACGTATCCGGGAACGTCGTACAACTTCGCCGAAGCCTATCCTTACAGCAGCGCAGCGGCGGCCGGTATGTGTTTGAAAAGCGCCGGGACCCCGGGGGTGCTTCCTCATCGGGCCGATAAGCTCAGCCATGCGCCCTTTCCGACCGTGCTGCGGAGCAACGGTTAGAGAGAGAGAGAGAGAGAGACTCTCGTCATCAATGAATTCTCTTGTAGTCGTTGCCCTGGTTAATTCTTATTTTTTAAAAAATTTTTTATTTTTTTTTTCCTTTGGCTTCTCTTTCCTGTCTTTCTCTCTGTGTCTTCCTGTTTCTCTTCGATTCGCGGGAGGACCGGCGAGATTCTTAAATTTTCATTTCAATCAGACTTTTCATTCCTGCCGGTCTTTCCCGTGTTCTTTTTCTCTTTTTTTTTTGGGTCTCTATCGCTTCCAGCGTATTTCCCGTTCATCGACGTTATCACTTTTAGCACATAATTTATTGATCTGGATGCTAGCCGTAGTTACCGTAGTGTTTTGTGCATGATTGGAAATTTTTTTTTTCTTTTCTTTTATTCGGTCACACGGTACGGAGAGGGACGCTTACACGAAGGCTGTTCTTGCATGAGCGGCTTCATTGTTTTCGTTCGTTTAGAATCGTGGAGGATTTTCGGTAACGGGCTTTTCTTTTTCCTCCAGTCAGAGCCACGTAACGCACGAATAAATAAGGGAACAACTGTTGATTCTGATTTCAGCGAACGCAGCGGCAGCCAGTTACGTGACGCCTTACACGTACGCGACGCTACCCGGAGCTGCTGGGGGTTTGCAGGCGGCGACGGCGGCCGGTGCCTTTCCCGGTCTACCTTATCAGACGACGCCGCAAGAAGCTAGGCTCCAGTAGCGGGGCTTTTAAATGCGACGAAAGCTCAAGGACGGCCGAAGAGGAGGAAGACGAGCGACCGGCAGCGCCGCTCACGCGACGCCCAAGTGACGCGGAGTCAATCGTCGTCGTTCGACCTATTTATAGTCTGATATAATTCTTATTCTTTTCGTTTCCTCCTCGTCCTCGGTACCAACGACGCTCGTCGTCGGGACGACCGTCTCGCGTCGTACGAGTAAACATTTTCCCAGACGAGGAAAACACGTCCTTTCGGCCGATCCGTCACTTTTCTTACATAACCTCTATCTTCCCTAATCTTCCCCCTAGGAGCCAAAATTGGCGCGGAGCGGGACTAACGTGCGCGTTCCCATTTAGCGCGTAGTTACCTCGCATAGCCAATCAGCCCTCCAAAGAAGAGATACTAGTTATACTATTTATAAAGCTGTACGTATCGAATTAGGTATCACGTAAATAAATTTAAACACTAGCTACGTAAGTGTAAGCGTAACATGTAAGATAGTCATTAGGTGACACGTGCACTAAAGCGTAGCACGCGAAGGATAACCGATCTAGCGTTATATTAGAATTTGTTTTTATTGCGAGTACGATGGTGACCGAACATTGCCGAACACTGCCGAACGTCCTGTGCTCGGTATTTTCGGCAGAAGGCGACCCCTCCTCGCTAAAGAGGGACGGAGGGGAGGGTTCGGTTCCAGGACCGACCGTTCCAATCCTTACGAGAGCAGCGCCCGGTGCTCGAGTGTAAAGAGAATTTTGCCAGTCCTGTATACTTGGCTGAGAATGTTCTTTTCTTCGTTTTTTTTTTTTTATATTTCTTCCAGCATCCCCTCGGAAATCGGGCCAATTCGGGCACGTTGCGTCTCTTTTTATTATCGTTATTATGAAAACGATAGAACGACACCGGAGTCGACTCTGGAGAGGTTTCTGAACGTATCCCGGTCATCTGTAGCGACTTAGGAGGGGATCCATGGGGGTGATGGAAAAAAAGAGGAAGAAAAAGGCGCACACGCAAATAAACGAATAGTAATAATATATTGTTATTCTAACCGAAGGTTGCCTTAAGCGCGCTTGAGAAGCGTCACGAAGTGTCTTAAGATTCGGGGCCTTGTTAAGAGAACGTAATTATTTGCTCTTATTACCCCTGTAATTAGATACATCTTACGGCGAGCCAATCTCTATTTCACGAATGAAGTGTCCGGTCGCTGAGGCCACGGCATAATAATTCGAGGATTATCAAGTTTGGGCACAACTTTTGTGCCCGAATCGGTAACTCATGTTATTCATGATAATTGATGTCCAGTTAATGTTTAGGTTATCTTACGTAATACTGGCACGCGCGACCGGAACTTCACAAGGAATTCGTCCACTTTTCTAATTGTGCGGCGCCTTAGAAGCGCGGTGGCTCGGTCGTCGGTTAGAAACTAGTCAGTGAAAGGTCGCGGTGTACAGAGTAGAGTAAAAGAGGAAGGAAAGAGAGAGTGGCGTGAGCAAATGTGTGTGTGAGAGAGAGAGAGAGAGAGAGAGAGAGAGAGAGAGAGAGAGGGGGGGAGAGCGTAGAATGACGAGGGGTCGAAGCTAACGGAATGAGGCTGTCTAGTCCTACAACCCTTAGAGACCTTAGAAGAAGACGTTACTCGATTCGTTAGTGATATATAAGTAGCGATAAATGATAGAAAAATGAAAATTCAAAAAATTAGTACGATCACTTGTTGTATAAATGGTAGAAAGATACAAAAAAAAAAAGAGGAGCTGAAGAAAAACGAGAAAGCTTAGTATTTAAGCACTATCACATAACCCAAGACTTAGGATAATAGGCAGATAAATTAACATTATTATATCATTATCGTCATTATACTATTATTATACTATTATTATTATTATTATTATTATTATTATTATTATTATATTATGCCATTATTTTATTTTATTATTATTGCTATTATATTATTATTATTATTATTATTATTGATCTATTAATTATTATTAATTTTTAATTATTATGTACTTACCACGAGGAGACGGACAACAGATGTTGAAAATGCTCATGGTACTGCGGCTGGTACTTTGCGCACAATAAACAAAGGACTCGCGTATCTTGAGTTTTCTCAAGAAAAAGCAAAAAAAAAAAACGAAAGAAAAAGAAAAGGGATAATCGATACTTCGGTTTCCCGATTGTTTCGCTTATTTCGTTTTTCCTTTTCTTTTGGGACGTCCTATACTCTTAGGATTAATGAATTGTAATATATTACCTGTTATCTTCTACAATTATACTCTGATATATATTAGGTTACGAAAAGAAACAACAAATATATTGTCTTTAAGAGAATTCCCTCGATCGATGCTCCCACGATTGATCCGCCACCGTTTACAAACTTGAAAAAAAAAAAATGCGTCTGTTTTTTGAAACTGCAGCTGAGCAACGTTCGTGGCTGCTAGACGTTCGACGAACTCTGCAACTCTTTGTTTTTCACTGCTAAAGATAATCCTAACGGCCACGTGGGATTAGGACATCGGGCATGCGGCGTCGGTGGCGTCGCGACGTCCAAACAAAACGCAAAGGGCATTACTATCGGCGGAGGATCAAAAATAACTGAGTCGCAGCATCGCGATGCATGTGGCTGCCCTTTGCTCAATTGGAAGAATTGTTACAGCAGCTGCAGCAGCACTGGAGTCAGACCGGAGACGAGCAGGGAGATCGCCAGTGGGCCGATTCTCTTGAAACCAATTTTATTCGGGTACGAAGTACAGTCGGTAATGCTCCGAGGAGAAAGATTACCCGAAGCCTCGCGGCGTCTCCGCCAGATGTCGACAGCGACGCGAACCGAGCTCGCCGCGTCCTTTGAATGACGTACGCCTTATCATTTGACTCGAGGCAGGAGTAGGGAGTATTAGGTACTGCTATAGGCATCACTCAGTTATCCCGCGATTATTCGTGCAATCAAACTCTCTTGAATCGACGTCATTTTTTAGCTACCCGGTATACAAAGGTGACATTAGCGTTACATAGCGATAACCGGGGCGACGGGTCGAAGAGAGGTAGAAGGCGACGAGGGTAGGAAGAGAAAGGGGTGGGCTGAAAAAATTGACCAGGGGCGAGCGAGGACGGATTTTTAGAAAAAATCGGTTTTGAGAAAGTTTATTTTCTTCGAGGTAATTCACTTTTTTTTTCAAACGACAGAAATAGTGAGTGATCCGGAAGGTGCAAGGCCGGAAACTCCATGCAGGAACACGTGGACGGTCGACCGTAACAGAAATTAACTTGCGCAAGTAACGTAAGCCTAATTTTTCACTTGACATATCTAAATCCTCTTCCATCTTCATTCGCGGTCTTATGAATTCTTTGAATATTCGTTTCTCCTCTGAAAGAAAACGCTGCGCTGTTACACGAAGGCGAGAGGAGTCCAGCTCTGATGATTTTAATCCTATTTATCAATGATTTGCCGCTTGTCGCCATTCTCGCCTGCATATCTCGACTTTGTGCTAATTCATCCAAAGTTTATAACACGGATTAGATCTCATCGACAAGTCAGAAAGATCGAGTTCAATTATGCTATCAGTGACTACGGAACGTTTTATCACTTCTCTCATAATAATTGTAGCGTCCCGACGCGACTGTTACCAAACGATACGCGATTGCAAATATTAATAATCATCATTAAAAAATCATCAGATCTGCATCTCGATCGTATAAAACGTCAAAGCCGGTTTTCACGAGTTTCCAAGAATCGACCGATCGACCATTGGTTTCGGCAACAATTAAACGGATGCTGCATCCGCACGTAACTGACGTTACCTGCTCGAATAATTGATCCTCACAATGAGATGACCTGTGCTCAATTTCAATTGCGTAAGCTCGTCTGGGGCACTTCGCTATCTCCCCATCAGAGCTACGCTCCGGCTTTGCTTCCCCTTTACTTTCTCCTTTCTCTCCATCCCAATTTCCACAATTTCCCCACGCAGCGAGCCATCAGCTCCAGCGCGGAGCGCTCGGAGATTATTTCTCTTACAGGTGTCCAAGAATAATGTATTTCGTATCGTATCGATTAGATTGATATCGCGACGCCCGGACGTTCCCGACAATCTTTCGGTTAAAGCGACTTACTGCATCAGTCGAATAGATATAATTTCAGGCGAAGGTAGACACTCGGGTGCCACAATTGCGTTTCCCACCTGAAAAACAGCAAATCCAGGATTTCACGCGTAAAGTAAAACTTCACATCGCCTCTTCGCGCAATTTCGTCGAATTTCCCAGGAAAACCGAAGGACTTTTCCAGCGTTTCGCTTCTCGTGCATCCGTTCGCAGTGTTGCCGATAAAAAACTTGATCTTCGAGTACGCGTCCCACATGCGATACACGAGGCCCCGTGACACATGTGACAGTACGTAATTAACTATCGACGGGTTCTCATTAATTATTTATTATTACCAGAGTCTTTAATATCTTTCGCCGCGACGGGATATTTTCTCGTGTCACGAACTCTGTAGAAAAGTCTTATCGCTATTGTTTTCGTGGTCAGTTCTTCATTGATCAAATACAGCAGCGCCAGTAGGCAGCCCGTGGAAAGAAAGAAATGTTTCGCATAAGCGTCGAGAGTGGCATAGATTCCCAGTAAAAATAAAATTTCCCACATTTCCGACCTGTCGTCGAACCGCCTTCTCACGGTCGTCCGCAAATTCTCTCTCCAGAGCCGAAGAAGCGGTTCCGCCGTTAATTGTGAACAGGACATGAGCGGCGGTAAGGATTGCGGCCTCTGCGGGTTTTATCCACGATGGCTGCGGGCCAGGGCGACGCCGAAGAACTTCATCGCGGTCTACGGTCTCCTGGGCACCATCCAGGCCATGGCCTTCATCTACATAGTGGTCACGTTGACGACCTTGGAGAAGAGATTCAAAATTCCAAGTCGCACCACCGGTAAGTTTAAACATTATTTATCTCATCGATCGAATGTATCAACATCTCTCCTACCGTCTCGGCTTTCCCCCCCTCGCCACCACGATGCCCCTCCTCACTTGGCCCTCCGTCGCAAACGACGATCCCTCTGATCGTGCGTACTGCGAGCGCTTCATTCAGATGCCGAGAACCGTTTCAGTACGTGGAGACTTTGGCCTCCACTACTCTAGCACTTTGGGCCTGTGTGCGTATCTAAGTACAGTGTCGCAACGAGAAGTGAGAAATCTGTCGTTAGAACGAATGCGTAGTTGGTGCTTTAGGCACGAACAAATTACTCGCAGAGTTCTCGAGGAAGCCCACTGGAGACCTAGGAAGGTTTCCTATGTCGAGTACGTGCGCTACGAGCCGGCACAGATATAGCCCGTCTAGAAGAGTTAAGGCTGATCCTCAATAACAGAACGTCGGATGCGACGGTATTGCCAGTGGGCGTCGATGGATTATACGCGTGGAAGGAAAATCGATGGATCAATATTTTCTTTTTTTTACACTGTAAACTTCCTCGGCAAAACAATTCGCGTAACTCGGCATTCGATATCGCAAACCGCAATGTTCATTTTTATTCGATTCCGTTATCCGTTTACGGTTACGTCGTAGGTACTCGAGTTGGTTAATCGATATCGGTCGTCTTTACGTAATTGTCATGTTGTTTATTTATGTTTTTTTTTTTTTTTTCTTGAGGTATCATTCTATCCGGAAATGAAATTTCCCAAATTCTCTCACTCGTACTGACTTACTACGGGGGTTCCGGACATCGTCCAAGATGGATCGCAGTGGGCGTTGCTCTGAGCGCAGCATCCTGTCTGGTCCTGGCTCTTCCGCACGTGATATACGGCCCTGGAAAGGATGCACTGGCTCTCACCAAGGAGTACCTGGACCACACTCTGCTCAATGCAACTGGTACGGATTCCTCGCATATAGCCATCTGTCCCAGGAACAACAATCCGGAGCAGTGCGACGAGAACGCCATGATGGACATAAGCTATCTGCCGAGGCTGCTTGTCTTCGTCTCGCAATTTATATTAGGGATAGGAACGACCCTCTATTACGGATTGGGTCAGACGTACTTGGACGATAATACCAAGAAAAAGAACACACCTATGTTGCTAGGTAAGCAATCGGATCATTTTGTTATCCAGACTTGTTATATTTTTTTAAATAATCCTCTCGTGACTTTGGTCTTCTGTATTATTGGATTATCTATTTTCTCTGATATTTTTCTTTGTTAATCAGTAGATATACAAATAACTCTTTCTTTTTTTTCTCCACTGATCGCTACTTACACGCGAAGATAAAGGAGATACCGTATCTGATATAACAAACTTGGCCCAAAAGCGTATAAGTCAACGTAAACGATATTGTGTTTGTGTTTACTGATTGCTCGTACACACTGTATATCTGTATAGTTGGTTCCCCTGGACTCTGTTGAATTATGATAACATATAAATCTTTCCTATGCTTGCTTGTTCCTTGCTATAGATTTTCATAATTTCAGGATTCACCTTCGCACTGCGCACCATTGGTCCAGCCGTGGGATTCGTCCTGGCGTATGCCTGCCTCAATCTCTATATAGATCCTACTCTTCATCCGGTGATCACGAAGAAGGATCCACGCTGGTTAGGAGCCTGGTGGCTCGGCTGGATAATTCTTGGCGTGACGATGGCCATGTTTGCTGTGCTTATCGCCATGTTTCCCAGAGATTTGTCAAAGCCAAAGGTCACGCAGAAGGTAAGGAAGACAATGGAGAGAGGAGGATTGGAAATTGCAGTGTAAAATTATTTTCAATAATTTATAGATCGACGGCGAGATACCGTTGAAGAATGATCTGGTACCGATGGAAAAGGCTGGTATACAGCAACCGGAAGTTATTTTTCCGGAAACGGTCGAGGAGCAATACGTGCCTACTATGAGAGAATTTCCGACAGCCATCAAAAGAATTCTTACTAATAAATTATTAACGTGTAACAATCTCAGCGGCGTCTTTTATGTCCTGGGCGCTTCGGCGTACATTACGTTCCTGGCCAAGTATCTGGAAGTGCAGTACGGTACATCGGCTGCAGGTGGCACCGTGATAGCAGGTACAGGAACGACAAGGATATTGATAAATTTGTCTGAGGCAGGTCTAACCATCTTGTACCGTGTCCAGGACCAATCTCGCTGATCGGAATGGTACTGGGATTTCTACTGACGGGTCTGTTCATCAGCAAATTCAAACCAGGCCCCAGGAAGCTGCTGGCATGGAACGTCTTTGTGGGCATTTGCTTTGTTATCGGTCAGATCAGTTTCGTATTTCTGGGCTGCACTGTTACGGGGATCCGTGGACTCGATCTCGAGACTATGCAGTGAGTACGTTTTAATTTCTCAACAAGGATCAGGGGAGGGTAGAGGCGGGTGGGGTCTGATGCTAGATGGAACGAAAATTTCGGCTAGGTTTTTCAAAGGATCTTGCTTCCCAGGATCAATCTGACGTCTGGGTGCAATGCTGATTGCGGCTGCGAGGGGACGAAATACGCGCCCGTCTGTCACGAAGCCTCAAGAACGACCTTTTACTCGGCCTGTCATGCCGGCTGCAAGACCATTGTGAACGATAACGAATTTGGAAATTGCTCCTGTTTGCCTATCGTCAAAGTTCCTGGCTCTATGGGTCGTCATCACGATGCTGACTCTGAATTGCGGAGGTTGGCTCAGGATCACAGGCACCAATTGGTACCAGTCGAAGATCCTGGATACGATTCGGTGAAATCGGGACCTTGTGTCGGTGAATGCAAAACACCCTATATACTCTTCATGGTGATCACTTGCTTTATCCAAACTCTGGCCTGCTCTGGGAAGATCGGCAACGTGCTGGTGAATTACAGGAGTGTTGAGAAAAGGGACAAGAGCTTTGCACAGGGCGTAACGCTCATGACCATTTCTCTATTTGCTCTGATACCCGGACCAATAATTTACGGTGCCATCATAGACTCCACGTGCCTCATATGGGAGGAATCTTGCGGGACCAGGGGGAACTGTTGGTTCTATCACAGAGACAATTTCCGAATCTTGGTAAACATCTCGGCTGCTGGTAAGGATTATTTTTTAATTTATTTATAGAGAAAAAGTAATTTACTCCAAGATGGTAACGACACTCTGTCTTCTGCCGTCGCAGGTTTCTCCCTGATTGGGGTCTTGTTCGACGTGTTCGTGTGCTATCTGGTGAAAGACCTAGACCTCTATGGGACCCAGGAGGACGGACGCCGGGAATTCGTTAAGGAGCAGCTTCCGGTGACGTTGCAGAGTAACCGGAAGCAAGAGGTCAACGGGAACGCAAACGTGAACCAGAGGATAGAGCAGAGTCACGGTCACGATCTGCAATCATGATGCACGAACCGGAGACTTTCTTCCGTTTTATCGAAAATATTTGATTTTTATAAATTCCTATAAGATTTCTACTTCTTTCTCTAGGAACAATGGCGACGCCAAATTTTGACAATCATAGGACATGTAACCGATCGCTGTCTCGCTCAGGACACAAGATGCTCGGTGAGACGGCTCGTAGAGTAGCTCGTTTTGTAAATAAAAATTTAACGTTTTTAATAATCCCCAATGCAGTCAGATGATCACGCGTTCTCACTGAGAAACTTTAGTAATTTTTTGGAACCGTTCGATTTCTTTTTTTTTTTTTTATATTTTCCATGCGGCCGATCGAGAACGCTTTCGAGGAAAGTCTTTCTTTGGGCGCAGACGATCCTCCGCAAACAAGGTCTAATGCTCGACGAAGGGGGTGAAGGCCTGACTAAATAAAAATATATAAATTGTTTTATCATCCCTTCTTAGGTCTTGAGTCCTGGGTCGTGGGTCGTGGGTCGTGGGTCGTAGGGGGGTGGCTGCCGCTAAGGGTCGTTTCCGTGACGTTCTTAGGTTTGTATCTGTAGAGCGAACTTCCACCGACTGAAGGGATTACATCAGCAATGGAGAAAAAGGGTAAAGACTCGCGTTTTTGTTTGAGAGCCTTTTAATTTTTAAGCCTCCTAGATTTCCCGTCTAATGAATTCGGCCTCCCGTGACGTCAGCCGGGCCAGGACGCCCAGCGTCTTTATCGATCGTCACGGCTATACCTCCGGAGGATGCGCTTTCCGCATTAAAGGATTAAATACACGTTCCATTCGTTTCTGAGATTCTAATGGAGTCTGCGCAGATCCTTGTTCCCTTCGAATCTCGGTCTTCCTGCATCGAATGATCTTCATAGCCTGGATGATCATTTTCACCGAAGCGTCTGGGGCCAGCATCCTTGTTCCTTGACTCTGATGATCCTTCTAGGATGTATATGTCCTCTTCCGTAAATAAAGCCCTAACCCATCTTCTATCTTCTTTCACATAAACAATTCATCGTCGCTCGTTAACGCCACACGACTTTCCTACCAATCGCAAATTTTGACGACGTGTGTACCCGCGTGCATTGTGTATGACCCTGACCCATCTTTTATACAGAGCTCATCAGTGTTTTCTAAGCTAAAGTACAGTCCAGTCCAGAGCAAGTAAGACTCTGCCGTTAGGTTTCCAATCCGGATGCGATCCGAAGCACCGTGCAAGATGATCAATCATGCTCCTGGAGGAGACTCTCGGCAGGTGGAACTGGGACCAGGTCAAAATAATCATCAGGAATTTGGGATTGTCACTGATCAAAGTATCCGGCGACAGGGAACTTTTGGAACGGAAGTGAGGCAGGAGCCGAGTAAACAGAGCGAAGGTAATCGAAGGAAGATGCGGAAGACGATGATTCGTTCTCCTAACGAAAATGACGAATACTGAATCGTCTGTGTAATAATGATTCTAATCTCCCTCGTCCGGCCTTGCTTCCATTCTGAATGCTGCAACGTAATCTAGCTCGCAAGTGGGTTGCAACATTCAATTTGCTGGGAAAATTTATCAACGTTATAGGTACGGAGAGGTGGTAAGGTCTGCCGTGAGCTATTTCGGTAGGTCTTTTTTAATTGAAATTTTGAATCCTATCGATTCGAGGGCTCTGCTGAAAATTTTTCATTCGTATCTGGTCCAAGATCTGGTTATCTCAGTATCTCGACAGTCTCCCAGTTGTTGAAAATGTAAACAGAGACTCGTTCGAAGATACAAGGTGATATATATATTCGTTGAAAAAGTGTTATTTTGGTAATTCTGAAATTTGGACAAATACGTGTGCATTCGAGTTTGATAAAGACAGAGTGCATCAATTTCGTATAATATACGGTTTTTGTCATTGTAAATTCAAGATGGCCGTTTTTCATCTCGCAGCCTCTTTAAAATGCGTGCAAATAGCAATGAGCTACGGATCGTAAATTAATGAGATTTTCAGATTCCTTACGTCAGAACACTGTCACAACATCGTGATTAGGCGAAAATTTTCGTTTCCACGCTATGAAAGTTTACGGGTGCCAATCATAAATTCGCTCGGACGCTGATAAACTTGATTAAATTGACTATAGGAGTGCATTTGCGATGCACTTGCGATTACAGCCGCGTGCAGCAGACGGGACGGCAAACATTCTCATGGGCACGTAAATATGTACGGAAACACGGAGACTTATAAGTGTATCTAGTAGCGGCATATATGTAGAATTTTCATTATTTTAAAAATTCACAGTTCAATATTTTTTCTCTCATAATTATACATTCTCACGATCAACGCGCTCTCTCGTGCATCCAGTTTCATTTGTGGCTCAAGGAAAGTTTTTTTTTTTTCCAAAAAATAAAATTTTATTGTTCATACCAATGGAGGGGGATGTCGCCACCGAAGCACTTGACTTTAAGAACATAGTTACACTGAAATTATATGGATTATTTAGAATATTTATGGCGGCACTTTATCTCGTCTAACTTTTTCGTCTTCTTAGACATATTTATCATAAGGGCAAACAACAAAACGCCGAGCCATTGAATTCTTAATAAAGTCTACAGAATACCTGAAGTCACCCAGGTCTCGTATACGTTTCCACGAGGTCGTATTCAACGTGTATCTTTGAGATCTAACGAGTAGAAAATGAAAAAATCTCTGACTTGCATCTTCCTAATCTCATTCTTGGAAACAGTAAAAGACAATTGAACGTGCTTTATATTAGGCTCAATATAAATCTTTGATATTGCAAGGTGACAAATAATAAGGGTGCGAAAGAGTGCGCTTAGAGGCTCAGGTTAATATTCTAGATGGGCTTTATATACATATACGGTGATTAAATGAAATAATGAAGAAGAAAGCATCTGAAAACCTACGAAGCCAATGTATACGAGATATATCGCGGTTGGAAGTTTGTCCGAGGACAAAATGAAATTCCAGCAATTAGCCAGCAGCTATTAGCGAAGCCATTTGGTGTGCCATTAGCAATACGGGAATAAACGGAAGAGTTTACACGTACGAGAGCCGAGTGGTCGGACTGTGTGGGTATGTGTACGTGGACCGTCCCTATTAAATCATAATGGGTTCACAATGTGAGCAGCTACACAGCCGGCTAGAGTAAGCTTGGAGCATCGCCGAGTCTAAACCCACCGACATAAGTTTATACTAAACCGTAGGATGTGTCGGAAAAAGAAAAATTGAAGAAAAATATTATCAGCCCCAAAGATTCGTTTTGGAGTCTTTTTCCAAGGGGTAGTTCTTGTCGAAGATATGCACGATACGATATGAGCTTTGTCACAGAGGCCGAGACAAATAAAATGGATGATAATGAAAAATAAGGTAGGCTTAATGTTTGGCTTATGTAATTACGCATGGACGTCCTTGCGGATTTGAACGTGCATTTTAAATAGCGACTGCTATCGCGATCGGGCAAACCGAAAGCTGGAATAAAATGCGCGGGTGGCTGTGTAACGCATAGGAACCGGTCGACAAAGAGACTCACGACTCTTGATAACGGAAGATATCTCGTGTTGATATATAGACGTACCCTGAACCTAGGCCGCGTCATAGTTCGTCTTCGGAGCCTAAAGTGGGGGCGAGATCTAAGAAGTTGAGTACGTCTTGTTACCGACAAGACGGCCTCTCAGTTGGGAAAGAATATTTGTCGTTTTCGGACGCGAATCGATTTCACGAAGAAATTGGAACACACTCAAACATTGCTGGCAGAGATAGCGATTACCGATAGCGGCCGCGCGAAGCGTCACTTGGGAATCTTTACTGGTATCGGGAGAGAAAAATTATCTTGGGCAAAGGATGTCGTTCTGTTGACATTCGATCACTCGCGTCTTGGTGCGTCTCGATCGGTTGGTTTTCTTTTTATTTTTTCATCTCTTTTCCCAACGGGGGAAGATCGATAAATAATCGTTCGCTGCCCCCGAGAAATCTAGACGATCGATTCCGCTTTCAGTGAATGTATGGAAAATTTTGTCCGACTATCGTGATCAGTGTATCGTCTTAGGAAGATGACGAAGATGCGATCATTTGTTATTTGAGGAAGGAAAGGAAAAAAAAAAAAAAAAAAATTAAGATCCACAGTGATATTTTGATCCAGGTGGAGATTACGGTACGACGATGACTTGGTGTCGATAAATCCTCGAATATGCTGCTGTGCGAACGTTGACAGGATCTCGAGGAGACTGGAGCAGACTCTGTACTTTCCTGATAGAGAAGAAGGAACGGATCTGCGCGAGCGGATCGAAAAGTTTAAAGGACATTCGCTCCAATAGAGGCCGCCGAGTTAAGGACAATGAAGAATTCGAATAACTCGAATCACGAGAAGAATGGTCCAGAGAGCTTGAAACTCTTGAGGGTACCGTCGACGCCGGCAACGACGCCAACGACGTCCGCGACGCCGACCACGCCGACCCGAGGACTCGAGGAAGTCTTCAAGGACCTGCCCATCACCGACGACACAACCTGCGGCATATGGTGTTTCAAAGGACCGACGCTTCAGAGATTGGCAAATAAGAAGGCTTACGTATTTCTCTATGGCGTCTTGGGCTGCATATTTTCCGCGAGTTACGCCTACTTCAACGGCACCATCACCACCATAGAGAAGAGATTCAAGATCCCGTCGAAGACCACTGGTAAGTCTGGAGGAAATGGTGATTCGTCAATCGCAGAGTCCAGGACTGGATGAACCATTGTTTATTTCTCTCTCTCTCTCTCTCTCTCTCTCTCTCTCTCTCTGTTTTTCACGTCATTCCCCATAGGAGTTATTACCGTGGGTAATGACATCTCTCAGCTTTTCGCATCGGTGGTGATATCCTACTATGCCGGAAGAGGACACAGGCCCAGATGGATCGCCGCTGGAATCTACACGGTGAGTCTATCGACACGTATCTCAAGAACTAGCGGCGCGGTTGCCTGCTCGTCTCTTAATTAAATTAGGAAGCGTTAAAACCGTAGCTAAGCTCATTCACGCCTCTCTAGATAGTCCGCTCTTCGTCTGCTTTGCTAGCTTCATTCACTGGACCGGCGAACGAACGATCACTGCTTCCTCGCCTTGACACCTTTATCAGAGAGACCTTATCAATACCTTATTCTTCCTTCCTTCGTCGACAGGTTGTCCTCTTCTGTTGTCTGAACATGTTGCCACACTTTTTGTACGGCCCTGGCGAGGACGCGATGCTGCTGACCAAGGAGTACGGATCGAAACATCAGGAATCGACAAACTTGACGTTCATACCGGACAAGCAGAGAAAATTCTTGTGTCTGGGTAAAGAGGGACGCGAGAAAGAGTGCGAGGATCCTGAAGAAAATTTCGCACCTCAAGTTCTCCTCTTTATCGCCCAGCTGGTTTCCGGCGTGGGTGGATCTCTGTATTACACGCTCGGAGTCTCGTACATGGATGACAACATACAAAAATCAAAGACCCCAGCTCTGATAAGTTTTTCATACTTTTTGAGAATGTTGGGACCCGCCATTGGCTACGGGCTGGCCTCGTTTGCACTGAAGTTCTACATAAGTCCCACCCTGACGCCAACCATAACCACGCAGGATCCAAGGTGGCTGGGCGCCTGGTGGATAGGCTGGATAATCCTGGCGATATTGCTCTTCGTCTTTGCCAGCGTGATCGCCCTGTTTCCGAAGACCCTGCCGCGTGCGGCAGCCCGGCGGGTCTTGGCGATCGAGAGAAGCAAATCAAATTCCAGCTTCAAAGGCGAGAATCCGGAACCGGAACTACCAGCCTCTCTCTCCGACATGTTCACGACCTTCAAGAGACTCCTCGCCAACACCACCCTCATGTGCAACAATCTGGCCACCGTATTTTATTTTATGGGCTCCATGCCCTATTGGATATTCATGCCAAAGTACATCGAGACTCAGTACAAGCAGTCGGCCTCGGTCTCGTCCCTTATCACAGGCACGGTGGGCCTCGTCTTCAGTGCCTTTGGAATTCTACTCTCGGGACTGATAATCTCCAAGTACAAACCAAAAGCCAGATACTTGGCAGCCTGGAACGTTATGGTCGGTGCAATTTCAGTAATGGGCATGGTGTCCTATGCGTTTCTTGGATGCTCCGCAAATGACAATCAGATGTCAGTGCAGCCGAACGGTGTACTCAAGACGGAACTCCCGTGCAACAAGCACTGCCTCTGCGATTACGTTACCTACAATCCAGTGTGTTCGGAAGAAGGTCAAACCTTCATATCTGCCTGCCATGCAGGTTGTCGAAGTATGAAGGTGCGCCTTAGAGCTTTCTTCGTATTTTTATCGATTTCGTATTTATCACTTTCGATCGGTCAATGAAGTCGTTATCATTTTTATCACCAGGTAACCACCAATGGCAGTAAAATATATACGGACTGCAGTTGCGTAAACCCTAAACCCTCTCAAGTTCTCGCCATGATCAGCAACCACAGCAGCCACATCGGCTCCACGGAATTTCCCTCCGAATTGGGCAGCTCGCTGCAGAGTTCAGGCACTGCGATTCCCGGCGCCTGTCCCGTCGACTGTATGCACAAGTTCTACGTCTTCCTCGCGGTGGTTTGTCTCCTCAAGTTCAGCGGGGCAACCGGAAGAGCCTCGAACTTCCTCGTTTCCGTAAGGTGCGTCGACGAGAAGGACAAGACTGTGGCTATAGGCTTCGGCCTGACCATCATGAGTCTCTTCGCCTTCATTCCGTCTCCTATACTCTTTGGATTTATACTCGGTGAGTAGTAGCGCCTTTCACTCCAAAGAGGCGTTTAATGATTTTCAAAATATTTGACTAACATCTTCTTTATCGCACGCAGATAAGACTTGTCTGGTATGGGGAAAGACGTGCTCCGGCACGGGAAACTGTTGGCTTTATAATGGAGAATCTCTGAGATACCTGCTGAACTTCACGGCAGCCAGTAAGATACTATTTTGACATTAATTATCATTTGGATTTATTGAACTTACGACCGCTTCTAGTTCGTAACACTTTCTGCGCTTCTTCAGGCTTCGTAACCGTTGGCACGTTGTTCGATGTCGGAGTGTGGTATTACGTAAAAGACGTGAAGATCTTCGACGAGGACGTCGAGCTGGAGGACATTGCCGAGGAACCCGGTGATGCATTGTGATTCCCAGTGGAATTGGATCCTGGGGATCACTTTGTCAAAGAGAAGCAGAAACATGAAGAACGGTGTGGAGAGGCAGGTCGGATAACGTGGGAGAAGAAGAGGAGGTCAAAAAGAGAGAAAAATAGGGGCGCCAAATAAATACTTTTCAAGTACCTTAAGCATCTTCTTAGATATTTAGAATTGATTGTCGTTCGATTACTGCACTTGGCCCAGGACGTGTTTCTGGCCGGAAATACCTTTTTTACGATTTAGTCTATTATCGATACGTCGGTGCTACCTGCGACCAAACGATTATATTTATCCGATGGGATCATTTTTAAAGAGGAGTCTCTTCGAGGTCAAGGCATTCGTTATTGCAGCGTGGCGCTAGGTGTAGCCGTCTTAGATGGACAGTATTAACGGCGGAGTAAAATTTTATTGAATAAATATAAAACTATATCACTATACGTTCAGATTGTACTATGGATCGCGAGTCTTTCTCGCGCAATTACATTGGATCCCTATTAAAGTGTCCCATTCAAAAATCGGTGTTCAGTGGAGGAGGTCGGTCCCGTGAACTTCCAGAGTTCAGACTCTCTTGGGACTTCAATATGGATGACGGACTCAACGGAAGAGGAGTACCTGTTCCTTCGACATCCGGTAAGCTACCGAAACCAGATGACGTTTGGCCTCTTGATGGAGGTCTTACTGGCAAGGCTGGAACTTCCGGTTCAGCTACGACGTCTTCCAAATGATAACTTACGTTCCCACCGAGCGATTCTATCGACGATCGTGCAACGTTCAGGTCATCCTGACTCGCCCCGTAGACTGGCATTGTTATTTGAATGCTTTGTATCTCTACAGTGGGTTCCGGGGAATTCGTTGGACTCTCCGCAATCGGTATTCCAACCTCATTGAAGTCTCCTGTCAGGCGGTACGGTTCTGAATTTTTAAGAAGACCGTTTGGCTTCTTCTTCCTTGTATATTCAAAACTATTCGTCAATGAGAACCCATCTTGGTTTCTGATGTCGGATTCGGGTGGACCTTCGTGAACAGGACTCAGGGAATCTGAGCTTAACAAGGAGTTTGGTTTAGGTGACGATCTAGGATTTCCATAGTCGTCAGGATTGGGAAATGCTTTTCCTGTCACAGGGAATGACGCTATCCCAACATTGTTTAGGACGGGATCAAACTCTTTGCTCTTTACTCTGCGTCTGGATCTTGGTCCTACACTACTCAAGTCACTCTCCACGTCCGAATCTAATTCCAGCGGTTTGTATGCTATTTTGGGACTGGAATTTTTCTCTTCGTTACCCTCGTCGCTTGAGCTATCAAGCTCGTCTGCAGATTCGACATTTTTTTCTTCCACGACGGATAAGCTCTTGAGAGGTAGACTGGTCTCGTTCCTACGATCACCAGGTCCCAGAGGTCCATACTTCAGAGGTTGGTTGGACGAGTCTGGGGGATTTTCAGCTTCTTGGGCTGCTGGTTCTTGCGTAGGTTCAGAATTATCTTCTTGTTCCTCATCGATATGGTTTACCGTATCGCCTGCACATCAAAATCTGCTAATATCTCAAAGATGAATGTAATAACTATTAAAAACCCATGCTTACTGGACTTGCTACCGGAAGGTCCTGCTACTGGATCCAATAAAGGCACTGTTTGCGTGCTCGATAGTTCCTTCATCTCGCTATTCTCTCTCTCCCCCAGGGAATTACTGTAAAGCCTCAGCTTGCGGCTCCAGTACCAAACTAGAATCTGAAATATGGCCCCGACTGACAGCAGGAACGCTGTCAAGTAGCACATGTAGTCCCCGAAAGTTTTGGTATCGTGCAAGTGACACAAGGCACCCTGAGAACCCCAGTGCTTGCAAGTGAGAGCAGCAATCTTGTGGTAGAGTAATCTTCCCGGTACGAAAACGACTATGGCAACCCAGGTCATCCAGAACCCAATCATCAACGCCTTGTCCTGGACGTAGACTGATCTCAGATTGATCAGCAGGTGCCCGACCATACTGGAGGCTACTAAAGTATATGCTAGAATAGTGCCAACCTGAAGAAAGGGAATAGTCAGAATCGTTCGTTAAATATCTCGTGGAAATTTCATACCTGATAGACTATTAAGCCAATTCGGCAACTGCTCGAGTTACAAGGACCATCGCTGGCTTGAGTATTTCCCAAACCTGTCATCTCCTCGACGCAGCTGCATCCTCCATAGACTTTCTCGTTGTTCACGTAAGAACTCACAGTGCACCCTGCGTGACAGGCACTGTAGAACGTGAATTTCCCGTTGCTGTCGCAAACTGGACGGAAGTCTGCCTCGCGAGAGCAATGACAATTCTTGTTGCAGTACTTCAGCAAGTAGATGCTGCGCGGACAAATTCGTGAAAATTTATCAATTTTATGGGTCACAGCTTTTTTTTACTGCTTAGGTACGTTTAAGGTTCATTCACTTACGATCCTTTACGTTCGCCGACTATCGATGGTTTGTTACAAGTTGCATATGCCAGTGCAAATATTAACGTTGACGCCACGATCGTCACCATCACGTTATATCCTGCCAAGTATCGTGGTCCTGGCTTTTTCCCGGATATTATGAATCCAGACACGATCACTACGATGCCGATGAGAATGGGCTTGATCATTGCTGAAAGAATTTTTTGCCGTAGAAGACACTTGGAAGAGAGACGAATTTATGAAATTTTCAAATAGAATATCGAAAGATCAATACTTGTGACCATTCGTGAAGTCCAAGGATCGCCGAAGCCTAAAAGGATCCCGTTTGGCCTTGGTAAGTAAAATCGAGATTCCAAAAAGATGTTCTCGAACATCATGAAGTTCATAATAGCTGTTAAGCAAAACATTGCTCCCAAGATATTACATATAACGATGTTATTGGTCATTAGTCTTAGGATCGATGGAAGGAAGCTGGTACTTCCTACTTTCGTATTCAGGGATTTCTGGGAAGATCTACGGGATTGTCCAGCCATGTCCAGAATGGATGCTGCGGCCGAATCGACAACCTTTTATAAAATTTTTAAGATTAACATAATTTTTAAGAAATATTGAAAGTTGGCCAATCGTTAAGGATACCTCGGATATCAATCTTCTTGGGAATATCGATAAGAATATTCCGGGAATTGCTAACGCGAATGCCAAGATAGGCCATCCTAACCACCAGGCACCAATCTGCTCCTGAGAAGATTCTATGATATTAAAATTCTCGGCATCTATCCTGTGAGAAAAAAATATCTTTTTTTTTTCCAAATACCATACAAAAATAATATCGTATGACTCACCGAAGACACAACCAGGCTAGAAGGAGTCCCAAGAGATATCCAAAAATCCTCGAAGACAAGACAAGACCAATGAATCCAGCTACGCGGGATTTTCTCGTGTTGTCGTCCAAATATGAAATTCCAAGAGCATAAAAAGCCACACTAGCCATCCCAGATAAAAATTGTATCAGGATCAAGAGTCCAAGAGTGAAGTAACAAGTGTCACTTTTCTCAATGACGATTCTCGGAAACTCCACATAGCACAGCTCAGGACTATCCTCTGATGGGTTCAAAATAATCGTCGATAGAGATTAACTTGAATTTAGTCCTGATAAAATCAAAGATCCACCTACCGGAATACAAAGACATGTGCGTGACATTTTCAGTTTCCTCAATGATCCTGACGTGATGCGTCAAGTGAGGAATTATCATAGACAAGAATCCTGCACACTGGATGAGAACCAGAGCCCCGGTCCATGCGGCCCTATGAATTCTGTCACCCCAGTAAGCCACTGTAACTCCAACAACGAACGGAGTAATTTCCGAGACGACCAGAATCCAATCTGTGAGAAGCAGAAAAGTTTTATAAAAACTTCCTACTCGAGCAAGCTTTTCTGAAAATATTAAAATCCGCCATCACCTATAAGGTAGGGGTCGATCTGGAATCTTCTGGCCAACGTGGGCCCAGTCAAGTATAGATACGCCTGTGCCGCAGCCTGGATAAGTCCGATCCAAAATAAAAGTGTAACGAAGAAAGATCTTGTTGCGAACTTTGCCAATTTCGGACAACGCAATTGCGCGCAGCCACAATCCATTGATTTGTTCGGAATCGGATTGGCTGGTCCTGATAAACCACCCTCGACTTCCGATCTAACCACTTCTTGAGGTCCAATAGACATTTTCCTACCTACGATAGAGAAGGCTTTAACTAATTATAATTTTTTTACACAATATATATTATTGAATATTTTTGAAAAATATATGTTTACCCGAACGAGTATCGTATCTATGAGTCATTATTCATTAATCAATCGCCCCCCCCCTTCTCCCACTACACACTATGACGAATTAGAACATGAAACTTATACCAGGAATCTTCACACATTTTTCCCACGTAACAAGACGATCCCACGAAAAACGAAGATTTTTCAATTTCAACCCAGGAAGTAGCAAACAGAGACAATTAACAAAGCTTCACCTGTCACAAAAGCCCAGCGACTGACTCATCGAGTTAGTTTGACTCACAGTTAGTTCAGTTAGTAACCGATCGATTCCCAGCGAGCGGTAGTGAATATCGTCAGACGCGTCTTCGACGATTGAACGATCAGCCAGCGACGATTATCCGTTCACATGTAAAAGTACGAGAAGAGTTGTAGCCATCGTGAAATACCGTGTGAGAGAAGCGTGCAAGTCCTGCGTGAGGTAAGACTCGGTCGATGCAACGTGTAGATACCAAGAGGCGCGGTACTATGAGTCCGTGTGTTATCTCGCAAGAGATACGGTTAGTGAGATATCTTTCGATAAAGCATACCATGGCATATGAAGCTATAGCAGGCGATACGAGAGACTGGGACAAGGCGTGGGGCGATTGGTGGAAAATCGGCTACAGGGGAAATGGCTAGTCAGCGTAAGGCCAGGCTCACAAGGCGGCAGTGGTACACGGGCAGGTGGAACGTAGAAACGTTCCATTACACGGAACGGCGTCTCGCGTCAGGCTCCTTCTAGTTGGCGCTATCGCCTACATCTGGCTCCTTGGCGAATCTTGGCAATTTAAAAAGGAATCGGTGCCCATGGTAGGTGTAACGCCCGAAGGAGTTACCTTAAGCACACTTAAGTCTGCACGCTAAGAAAATGACGAATGCCAATTAGCATATGAAAGCCCAGGCTCTCCTGGACTCGGTAGAATCGGCTACGTGTAGCCTCGGAACGCTTGGCAGGGCGATCACGTTTTTGAATATTAAGAACGGGATTACACCCTGGGGCTTAACGTGCGAAATGTAGTCCGGCGCGCCAGGGAAAAAATCACCCTTAAGACCCCCCGAGGAGAGGCTCGTGTTCCGTTCCTCGTCTTCTTGCTGGGTTAGACTTTGGTTCTCGTAGTGGAACCGTCTCAGCCACTGGTACCGGTAGAACCAGGAGAACCAAGGAGCCTCCTTGCCATTGGTATCACGGGTCATAATATTCCCGGGGATGTAATATCATTCCACTTTACGTCATCGTCCTGGAGGGTAGATGAATTAAAAAATATTTGACGCCTTTTCGAAAATTCTTGAGACCCGATTCACGGAAGCGAGCGTCTGGGTGGTTATACTTTGTAAATGGGATTCTGCCTTATGGGAGGGTCAAGAGGGACAGGGGGTGGAAGCAATTGTAAGAGCCGGAACGTGGCGCCCTGCCAACCCGGTTGGCAGTTCCGGGTTTGGGCTGGTTGAGCCTGTTGGTACAGCTCGGGCAAGGACCCACAGACTCTCATCTCTGCAGGACGATGAAATATATCTGCGTAGGAGGATGCAGGCTTTCCATTAGCAGAGTAAGTGACCAGCGCCCGCATTTTCTTTGATGTTGGTTAATTTACTAATAACATCAACCCCCGGGCTCCGCCACCCCTCCGCCCCTCTTGCTGCTTCTCCTCCGCGTTCTCCTCTCCCGCCACCTCCCCCATTCGTCAACCCCCTCGCTAACTCTACCTCCGCGAATTTGCCCTCTAAATATTTGTATCGCCAACGTATCGACTTGACGTCGCGTGTAACGGGTTTTATTATTATTCAAGGGATCCGATGTAATAAGGTCAAAACTTACGGGGACGAAGCATCTGGTTTTCGTAATCAGCACTGCCTATTAGCCGGCCTATAGTTTCTAGCAGGGTAAATGTCCTTCGGTACGGTCGGGTTTCGCAATTCAAAAAAGATTCGAGTCCTCGAATACGTGTCTACGGAGTTTGCCATTGAGGGTTGAAATCACGATGGGGTCTTAGAAAAGATCGTTCGAGGGAGAGAGATCTTAGCAAGGGATTATATCGAATTAAGTAGATGCAGGGGTGGAACGCGTGGCCCCGTAACACTTAATTTTTCCCTCGATTTTTTAATCTCCCGGTAAATATCGTACCGCCCCCTTCCCCCCCCCTGTT